CACAGATTAAAATTAGACCCTTATCTTTCGCCATGCACTAAATTAAAATCCAAATGGATTAAAGATCTAAATATTAAAACAGAAACATTAAACTTGCTGGAAAGTAAGTTAGGCAGAACTCTGGAAGACATTGGTATAGGAAAAGACTTTATGAACAAATCCTCAGTAGCACGGGAACTAGCAGAAAGAATCAACAACTGGGATCTCATCTTACTAAAAAGCTTCTGTACTTCAAAAGAAACCATTAGCAGAACTAAGAGACAATCTACAATGTGGGAAAAAATTTTTACCAGCTGTACCTCAGACAAAGGACTATTATCAAGGATATATAAAAGTAAGTTTTTTTTAAGTGGGAAAATAAAATAAGACCTAGGATTCTTTAAGGGCTGAGTGTAGGTGCCAGAAATATCTGGAAAAGGCACAGGAAGGGCATTCTCAGTGACCATGGAATAGGAATGTTATTTAACACTTATGTGGGAAAAAATTTTTACCAGCTGTACCTCAGACAAAGGACTATTATCAAGGATATATAAAAGTAAGTTTTTTTTAAGTGGGAAAATAAAATAAGACCTAGGATTCTTTAAGGGCTGAGTGTAGGTGCCAGAAATATCTGGAAAAGGCACAGGAAGGGCATTCTCAGTGACCATGGAATAGGAAAGTTTTATTTAACACTTTAGACCAAGATTTATCCTTTTCATATGCAATGATACTGCCTGCCCTCTCCTTCACCATAGCCTGTTCCAGATTAGTACGCCTGAGAGAGGAAGTCTGGAAGTAAAGCTCCCTTCTTGTTTCCCATTTGCCTTTGCCCCATCTGGATGTGGAGTCAAACAGAACCCTAAAATTCCTGAAAAGGTCATCCAGCAGTCCAACTGCAGACTCTAAGACAAGGATCAGGTACACACAAACCTATCAGCTGTGGGTCTAGACACTGGAAGTTTTCAGCAGTAAACAGATCTGACAAAGTCCCACTCCCCTCAGAGAGAAATTCTCACTGTCCTCTGCTTCTTTGAGTGTTTGTAGCTTGATAGTATTGGTTTCTCAGCAGAAGCCCCTGAGACCTATTGTGTCTGAAGATCAAGATTAAATTCCTGTCTGTCTACAAATAGGGCACCTCTTAGCATATTCATTTCTTCTTTGTGAGAAGAGCTTGCAGGGCTCCTTTGCAGAATTATTATGAGAATGATCATATAAATTAGTACAGTGGATAGCATTATGTCTGGCATTCAGTACATACAGTAATGAGGCCTTCCTCTTTGGTTTTCTCACCACAGACACACAAGTAGGAGCTTCATAAATGAAGCTATCCGAGTTCCCATCCTGTAGGAAATGTCTATCAGAAAACTGTCTTTTCCCTGCTAAGGCAGGTGAAGAAGGACCCAAAGCTCTGGACTCTCTTTGCCGTCCCTGCATTTGCACTACTTTCTTTTCTCCAGTTCTCTGCACCACAGTACAGGAGTCACTATCTAAAGACCTGATTCAAAAATGGGCATCTGAAATGAACAGACATTTCTCAGACAAAGAAGTAAAATCAGCAAGTAAATATATGAAAAAATGTTCCACACCACTGGTCATTTGAGAGATGCAGATGAAAACAACACTGAGATGCCACCTCACCCCACAAAAATTGGCTGATGTCAAGAAATCAACCAATAACAAATGTTGGAGGTGTTGTGGGGAGAAAG